CCGCTTGCCCAATCTGAATGCGAACGTAGAGCAACGGTGCGTTGTTTTCTGCGWACCGTTGCGAGACAAACTYGCGGGCCACCTTGGCAACGTAGCCAAGCATGTCCCCCACCGCGACTTCGTCTACCGTCGGCGAAGTTGGTGGTGCATGGAAGGAAAGATACTCGTGTAAGAGGGCGCATAGGGCTGCGCTTTGCGACCCCGAAAGGTTGCCCGTCGTAGGGAGAGGAACCCAAGCGAAATCCTCAGGCGTGAGCGGGTCCAAGCCTCCTCGTTGAACACGCTTGCCGAATCCCTTGATGAAGACGAATTGGTTGAAGAACCTTCGGACGGTGAGAAAGCCGCACATGTACCTTGTCCTTGAGAAGCATCCAGTGAAGGAACGAGCTGGGCAGCGAAGTCTTCGAACGAAAGTGGAAGACTCCCGACATCCGCATATGCCTCGGAAGAAAGGGCGGTCGGGGCCACAACCGCTTCCGATGGCGTCGAGGGAGGTGTCGAGTCACCCTCGGCGGCGCCTACTTTCCCGGACGGGGTTTCCCCTTGATGGGGCAATGTGCAGCATCGTGGATGGTGCTGTTGCACCAGAGGCAGTAACGATACTTGAGTCTCGTGCGATAAGAATTCGCCGAGAGTCCGTATTGTGCCCAAGGTTCGTCGGCGATTGATACGGTGCTCGGTGTAGAGGTGGACTGAGTCTTCGTCTTGTCGCGGCCGTAGTTGTTGCGCGGCCGGCCACCATCCCTGGCACCTGCCAACACTTCACCCTCGTTTGGTGTTGCAGCCTCGGTAGAAGTAATGCAAGCCACCTTTGGCTTGGGCTGGGTGCCGCTCGTCGTCGCGGAAGATCGGCCGGCGTTGCAGGCTTCGATATTTGTCAGAATGATCCGTGACGCTGTGCTGAAAAGCTTGTCAGATGTGTCGAGTGTCTCTGCAATCTGCGTCAGCGCGTTTTGCAGAGCTGGACACGAGCGCATGATAAACAAGTGCTTGATGGCGCGGAATGCAAGCGGCAGGTCAGGTGTGGAGGCGAGTCTTTGGAACTCGGTAATCCAGTCCTGACTGAGCAGCGTGTTCTGATAGAGCTCGTTGAGCTTGTCCATCGCTTGCAGGTCGGGCGGCTCCACTTGGAATCGCTTGTGCCAGGCGTCAGTCAACTCCTACCAAGTGAGCTTGGTGTGCAGTTCCGACACTGCTACGCCGTGGCTGGTCAAGATGTTGTCCAGCCATGCTTGACACGCACCACCAGATCGGTGGTACAAGCACGGATGTCGTTGTTCGGGACATCGTGCATGTCGAGCCTGAGAGTAAACTGGCGCCACCACGGGATCGGTTCCGTCTTGGACTGATCACAGAAAACTGGAATGTCATCCAGTTTGGGTGGGCGTCGGGAGGATGCGGCGGCGGGCGTCACGGTGGCAGCAGCCTGGACCTGCGTCTCCAACTGCAAGTTCGTTGCTTGCTGCGACGTCCTGAARTCCTGATGCACACGCTTGATATTGCTGACGTCATCCTCCAAAACTTGAACACGGGTTGGCAAGGTTTGAAGGCCCTGCGGCTGCTACAGCAGCTGGCTGTTTCTCCAACGCCTGCAGCCGTGCGAGCATCTGGTCCACTGTCTGCTGCAGGTGAAGGATTTCCTCCTGCTGCAGAGCGCAGGTGGCCACGAGGTCGTGGGAGACCTGCGCAAGGGCTGACAGCCCTTTCTCAGTCTCCGAGGCCGCGTCTGCAGATGCCACTTCCACCCAATGTGCGGTCTCATCGCCGATCACGGTCTCCCGCGTGAACAGTCGTTCCCGCTGGCGTGACTGGTGTTCGGCTGTCGCCTGCAGGTCTGCCTCCTCTTGACGAAGTTCTCCTCTTCTTTCTCAATCCGACCACGTTCCTCGGCCGCGGCGGCAGCCCTGTCATTGGCCTCCTGGATGAAAGCAGCCAGGCGTTCCTCATAGGCCAGGAGGGATTCTCCCTCCTTCCGGTCCATGGTCTTGGTTTGTGATCGAGTGAGTGGTGGCATGCACTGCTCTGAAGAGTCACCTATGGGCCAATCCGATAGACTGGCCCAGTATTCGGACTGGAGGGGAAAGAACAGGTAGGCAGCAGACAGGTGGGAAGGATCGGACAGATCCCAAATTGAACAGATCCCTAATCAAAAAAGAAAAAAATAATAATTTTTTATTAAGAAATAAATCAAAATTCGAAAAAAAAAGACTGTCCAATCCCACTGAGTGCCGAAGGTGATGCAAGAAGCAATGTGAACCTTCGGTGCTCAAACTGCAGAGAATCAGAAAAGAAGTATCTTTACAACTTAGAGTACGAGTAGGTTGCAGAAAGAAAAAAATGCCGTTTTTTTTTATAAAAAAAAAAGACAAAAAAGAACGGAATTTGCAAACCTACGCAGTGAAAGTGTAGAGGGACATTTTCAGAAAAAGAATTGAATTTGTCAAAATGCAGACATTTAACAATTAAATAAGGTTAAAAAAAAATTCTCGGAAAAAGAATTTCTCAGAAACCAAATTTCTCAGAAAAATCATTTTCGGAAAAGAACAATAATTTCTCCAAAAAAAATTCTCGGAAAAAAAATAAATAATTCCTCGGAAAAAAAATTCTCGAGAAAAAAAATAAAGAAATAATTCATTCCGGGTAATTTCCAAGATTAAACAATTGCCAAATAATCAATCAACCTAATCAATCAATCAATCAATCAATCAATCAATCAATCTCAGATGATTGCTGGTTGATTGATCGATAGTTCGATCAATCTCCTGATTGACTGATCAATCAATCGAAGATTGATTGGTGGCAAACCGCCAATCCAATCAATCAATCGATTGATTGGTTGTTGCCAAGATTCATCGCACTAGCTCCGATACCACTTGTAGCATATCAGAAAGTGAAATGCACTGAAAGCCTAGGATCTACCAATGACGAAAGTGGCGACAACCAGCAGCATAGGTGCAACATTCACAAGGTGTCAATGTGTGCGATGCAAGGAGTGAAACAACGGGAAATCAATAACAACACATTTGTATCATCATCATCATAGGCTGGGAAGCAGCGCAGGGGAAGATCTAGTATCAAAAGGACACGTGGACAACAACATGAAAGGGAGAAACTTCRGAAGGGCAAAACACCAGATAAGATTGCCCTTCCGCTCACACACRTGGGGAGAGATCCATAGACATGCGAGAGAGAAGGGGGAGGGACATAGAGGGAGCCAAGTCCAACCCAAGTCTGATCTCCGAATGTCGCACACAGTTCAATCCCAATGTAGGGTGTAAGTCCGATCTGAATGTCATGTCCAATAAGGCAGAAGGCCGTGTCCAAACAATGTCTGCAGTTACCTCTATCTCTACTCTGGCAAAGAAGAAGAAGAAGAAGAAGAAGAACTTCGGAGGAGTAGGAGGAGAAGAGGAGAGGAGAAGAAGAAGAAGAAGAAGAAGAAGAAGAAGAACTTCGGAGGAGTAGGAGGAGAAGAGGAGAGGAGAAGAAGAAGAAGAAGAAGAAGAAGAAGAAGAAGAAGAAGAAGAAGAAGAAGAAGAAGAAGAAAGCTAGGCGCTTCCTGTACTTACCTGGCGATGGCTGAACTTGCAGGTACCGCGGAGCCAGCTATGGCGCTGGGCAGGTAAGTCCTCTTCTCTCTCTCTCTCTCTCTCTCTAACTCTACTACCCTCCTCAGCGCTGGACTCCTCCAGCGCTGTGCCTCATGGCCGATGAGCAGCGCAGCTGCAGTCCCGAAATAGCGCAGCAGGGAGTCTCCAAAATAGCGCAGCAGTGAAGTTCCTGAACCAGCATAACGCTGGATTTCTCCTGGTACCTTCTGTCCACGAACTGGGCAACGGCCCAGCTCAAGTAGCGCTGGGCCAGGACTGAAAACCCACGGCCTGCATTCTGGACCGTGCAGATCGAAACTCCGATCCACGGTCCAGAACGCAGGTTTTGAAACTGGTTCAGTCCTTGGCTTAAAAACGGCCTGCCTGGGTCCCTACCGGACGTCCAGGCCCTGTCCAGGATTCAGTTTCCTGGTACCTGGCTTCGAACCGGTCCTGTGCGGACGTACCCGTCGGCCTGGGTCCGAACAGGTAGAAATCTGTTCGAAAACAAAAGAAAAGGTCCAAACGTTTTTAGGAGCTCAGCATCTGGGCCTGAATCTGGCCCTGGTCCTAAAATGTGTACCTGGCCACAAAACGGACAACAGTACAACCGTTAGAAAAACAGCAGCAAATAAATAAATAAAAGAATATAGAAATAATCTAAAGCTGGCGTTTTTCTGATGCAGGCCCAAGTAAGAATGCCATAGGGCCTTCAGGTTGCGGTGACGCGACCTGGGGGCCCTATTCCAACCTCGGGTCCCGTGAGGGGCCCATGTGTAGGCTTTCAGCATGTAACACGTGAGCTCAAATCCAGGTGATGCATTCTGAAGGGTTGAACATTTCAATCCATCTTCTCTTCCCCCACATGATTGCCTTTTACAGCATCGAGAAGGTACTGAGAAGGAACTGTGTGCCGATGGTGCCAGTCTCTTTGCCTCCTCTTCCAGTTTCCCTTGCTAACTGTGGAAGCGTGTTTTACTTCTGGGAACACGCATTCACACAAATGTGCACCATTGAATGGCTAGATCTGCACCACATACCCGTACACAATCCATCGATAGTTCCACTGTAGTTTGATCATTACCACAAAAGGCACAGAAGGCAAAGTCGGTTACACAGAAAAAAAAAAAAAAAAAGTTGGGACCACTTCAGTTTGGAAATCCCGAGGCCGAATCATCTGTGTCCCTCTTGCACACCAAGGAATGCGTCGAGGAGTTGAGGGCAGGCATAGATCCAGAGGTTAGAAGATCGTGTAGCCTGCGTGCTACACTGGATTGATAGACAGTTAATGAAGACACAAGCGAACATGAAAGCAAGTTCAGTGATGAAAAGAATGAAGCAGATGTGACCCTCTTAGTAAAGCCGCATACATCAAAAGAAGCGTAACAGAGAAAACGACCACAGGAGTACCTCTTCTTCCTCCTCGGCATCCTCGCGCATTCCCCATGTCACTTCTGCAGCTTGACTAGCTGCTCCTGCCCTTGCCAGCGACGACTCTCTTTCTTTCTGTGCCTGTACAGCTTCCAAGACCTTCAGTGCATGTCTTTCTGCTTTAGACAAGCCCTCCTGCAAAGACAAAGGCAAAGACAAAAATCCCAGTGATAAAACAGTCAGCCAGAGTTTCAGACAAATGAGCGATCGTCAGCTGTCACCCATTTGTGGAGTCCAGTCCCCTACCACATCATTTGCAATAATTTGCCACCACCATCCCTACATTGCCAACGTTATCACCTTCATATGATTGCTGATATAACACCAATCCTTCTGAATGTTTGTTGTCGGGTGATGCAGGACTCGCGCCCACACGTTCGTTCGATGCCGACCACTTGCCTAAAGGTATATAACCAGCGCCTTCACATTCGTTTCCGTGAATTTCTGCCTGCAACTATGAGTAGAAAGGAAAGGCTGAGGGTCCATTGAAGAGTGGCAGTGGGAGGCACACAGTAGAGCGTTTGCACACACACCTCTGGCATCAGATCAATTGGTCCTTGGAAGACATAGAGCCTGGAAGATCTGCAGCCGCAATTTCAACAAACAGAAAAAGGGACATTAGCACCCATCTTCTGGAGGATGAGAATTGAAACTGAGGGGCTGCTAACCCTCTCACATAAACACACGAGCATGTGACACAACACGTGGGGGCTTCGATCATCACCTCCTTTTCATGGACCAGCTTCACTTGAGCCACCAGAATGGCCATCCAACGGGCCCCCTGAAGAATTTGAGCCCCTGTGGTGACCGTGCTGGTAGCAAAAAAGGGGTTCTGCTTCAAGAAACCAAAAATGACTCGTGCACAAAGCCCATGGCAGCCGATTGCCCTCGCATCAATCCAGTGTGCTTCAACAAACAGATCAAAGGCCAATCATTAACCAACCGGCCAAACAAAACTACAAATTGGTCATTTTAATGAAACGGCACCTACTGCAACCTGCACAACAGATGTTAGTCTTAAAGATCCATCAAATCCGTCCACCAGTCAGGAGCTCCTTCGGCCAAGATGTCATGAACTGGGCGTACAGCAGACTAGACCTCTTGCTACGCAAAAACAAAAGTATGCAGGGCCAGTAGGCCCCTCCAGTGCTTCTAGGCTGGTCCAGTGCACTTTCGTCGACCACAGTAAAATGCTGGAGGGAGCCATCGTTCGGTATGTACCAAAGGCAAGCATGGCTACAAGGGTCAAGTACGCTGTCTCAGGGCATCCACGCAGCCGTAAATCAGATCCATCATTTGGCATGTACCAACTCGGCAAACATGGCTACAAGGAGCAAAACAACAGAAGTGGAGGGTCAATAGGCCCCTCTAGTACTTTGTAGAAAGTGTGGAGCACGGCAAGCGCCCACAGGATATGCTGGAGGGTCAAAAGGCCCTCTGAGGGCATCTGCAAGGAGGGGTGGCCATAAATACAATTTGGCATGCACACCCGAAAAAAAAAAACAAGTGGAAGGCCGGTAAGGACTCCCGGTACTTTCTAGGGCAGTCCGGTGTTGTAGACGCCCCTCAAGGGCTGGCTCTCCAGCCTTTTTCTGTGGAAGAAGCATCGTGGACAGTGTGGCCCAAGGAAAATAATAAAGAATGTCACACTGCCCAAGAAAATACGAACAACACTCGTGCTTGCAGCACATAGCTCACACAAACAGGTAATCCCACCCACCTGAACTCGTCCACACACACACACACATCAAGATGTGCCCAAGCGCACAAACGGATGGAAACATGTGTGCTTGCACACACACACACACACACACACACACACACACACACACACACGCACACACACACACACACACAGAGGCTGTGTTACAATCTGTGATCCTGTCGATGTATTCTGGGCACATTTGTTGGGGGTGGAAAGAGTCAGTGCAGTGATGCGCGCAGGTGTTCTGCAAAAGGAGGACACTGCACGGTCGCCACGGCAGTTGCAGGCCAGTATCCCTGTACCAATTTTGAAACTCGTGTATGAAACACATGATTTCGAAGAGTTCCCTTCTTTCAGTTTTCATTCTGGATGGGCATAAGCAGAAGGAGAGGGACGTACCGAACTGTGAGAGGAAGTGGAAGAGGAGGACGAACTACTTTTATTTCAAGTGGATGTTGCTTTCGTGTTGCATACAGATGGGGTGAAGACAATGTGATCCAAGAAACAGACGAGGAGGGAGAGCAGTGGGACTGGTAATGACAAAGCTAGAGAGTCGAGGAAGAGCACAAGCAGGACCGTAATAACAGGGTGCAGGCTGAAGATCATTACTGATGTCGAAGCGGGGAAGGAGAATGAGGAAGGGAGGGAAAAGAACTAAGACATCGTAGAAAAGTGGGGAGAAGGGGATAGCAGGAGCAGCATGATGAGTGCCTTATGAATAGGCAGTGAAATCACAGTCGGAATCGTCAGAGCGGAAGATCAAGGATGAAGATGATGACTAGTCACTGATAAACGAATTGGTTTTTCTTTTCTTCCTTGACGAAAGGAGGTTAAACAATCCCCATGCGTAATGAGTAAGGTAACGACTTCCCACCGGCCGACGTACCCAACGCCAGAAAAATCCTTGTGACCGTCTGATGCGGAAACAAAAAAAAGAAGAAAGAAGGTAACAACTTCCCACAAAATGAGTACCCCTTATGTTCTCTGGGGATTGAATATCATAAACGAGAGTGTGGAAGATAACGGGGGCGCAAATGAGGGACCTCTTCCACCACACACAAAAAAAGGGGTGCTGAGAAGGCAATGACTTCCCACAGAGAACCCCAAACAACAGGTAAGCAACTGCCACACACACACACACACAAAAAAAAAAAAAAAAAAAAAAAAAAAAACAGCCATCCCTTGAACTTCTTTGGAATTTCCGCTCGCTTCCTTGTGCGTGACGCCTCGACAGGTCATCAAGTTGACTATAGGGATGCCTGAAGGAGCTTGTCTGCTGGCATTCACATCGTCCAGCTCTGTCCACTCCTTGCACGTGGCGAAGTAAGACGTTTTGTGATTTTTTGCGCGATTTTGTGGCACAATATGATGCACAGCCTGTTGCCCTCAGCCAGGGTTGTTTGCACTGAAAAAAAACTTGCAGAAAAATTTTACAAAGAAAAACGGTAAAAAACGTTTTCTCAAAATTTCTCACAGAAAAAAGAGATTGCTTACCCTAGAGGACTCCAAGTCCCATTGTCTGTCAAGGTCCAGCTTGCCGATCAGTCGGTAATAGTCCCACAGAACAGCCTGCCTCAGCATATACATACCCCGTCTACGTACACCCAAAAGGGAGGAGGGGGGGGGGGGAACAAAAGCCATGGCATCAACTTCCAGAGACTCGTCATGAGCTTGGACCCCAACAGACAGTCTCGGTAAAATCCTCTAGATGCAGCAATCTCTCTTCTTTGAGAAGAGAGAAGCACTTGGTCACAGTCTCGACACTCAACATAATCATCTGCATTCACCGGAGACAACCCGCCAGACCATCCCACCCAAACCACACTAATCAGCGCTATGCAAGCAAACAAAACCGTCCGTCATTACACAAGTACCATTTGTACCCAGGGTTCAGAATGACGTCAGTATGACCACCAGTATAACCCTACCCTACCCTACCCTACCCTACCCTACCCTACCCTACCCTAGAGTCACCCCACATATCCACACAAACGACGTCAATTTGCCCACCAGTTTAGGCCTACCCTACAGGCACCCCACATATCCACACGAAACAGGAGCTTTTGCAAGATCAAGCAGGTGGACAGGTAAAGAAGGCTTCACTTGCAATTATTTTTGCGGGCGCGGTGACATCCCGTTCTGCAGCAACTACAGGATTTTCTGCACCTGACGAAGACTTTTGCACCCGAAGAAGATGACTACGGAAGCTGAAGAGGACAGTTATTGTGTCGGCTGTTGACCCTGGCACAGATAGTCATGGCTGGCTATGTGTATCCGTGAGGTCTGCAAGGAAAGATAGAAAGTATTAGAAACCGATAAGGAGGTTAGGACGGAGCTCTAAGTGAAAGGATGTGCAATATATCACATAATGCCAATCAAGTTGAATCAACCCTTCGCAACCCTCGTTGACACGGGAGACAATCGTTGACTGGGCAGTCGGAAAACAGATAGCTATGGCTGTACTTGGTAGCATAGTGTTCAATAGCCACTCTCCCTGCTTTCTGTCTCACCATCTTCTTCAAGTGCAAAAGTCATTTTCTTCCTCCTCTTACGCTTTGCCTGGCCGACAATCTCCCCACAGGGAATGAACACACTCAGGTTGAGGAGGAGAGGAAGAATAAAAATGACAGCCATGACAGAAAAGAAGAGAAATGACAACCAAGATAACAGATCTGATGATCTGGCAGCTTCTTAGACATAGCCTGCATCGGTGTGGCCAACCCAGACGGTGCAATGGACTGCCATATTCTCAACCACAGACAATCCAGCAAGTCTCCAATTTTTTTTCGACCACAGACTCTCATGCAGCGGCCGACTACACTGCATCAGAATTTTGCTATTCACATGGGAGTAGTGTGCAGTGCAGAAAAGAACAATCTCTCTCTCTCTCTCTCTCTCTCTCTCTCTCTCTCTCTCTCTCTCTCTCTCTCTCTCTCTCTCACGCACACACGGCATGGCCGATGAAGTGAGACCACGATGACAGCTGCGAGTAATGGTCACAGCTGGCATGCTGGACTAGTCGCTTCATATGGACAGAATGCACGAGCATTATCGCTATATCTAGACTGAAAGTTGCCCTGCTGTAATGACCATGTGTTCTATTCAGGGGAATGACAGTAGTCTGTTCACTGATGCCTACACTACCATCCCTTCGCCTGTACGCATGACAGCAAATGCCGCCATTTTCCCCCGTGGACATTCACTCCGGCCTCCCTGAAAAGGCAGCACCCAGTGAGAAACAGCCTATGATCCGCTGATGCTTCGTCGCATTTCATGACAATGGCACGGAAGCCAGTCCTATCACAGAGCATAAAATTTGACGTGGCTGACCAAATGGATTACAGGTTCAAACTCAAGGGGCATTGGAACCATTTTTTCCCCATTACACGACAGGCCAGGAAGGGAAGACTGACTGTGACTGACTCACTTGCCAAACCTGATGAGGTTTCCTACATGCAAGGGAGCATAGACCCGAGCTTTCACCTGCATCAGACAAACAAGGCAGACAGAGAGAAAACAGAACGAGAATAATATGGTACTCGTCATTTCTACAAACAAAGGTAGCAAAAATACGTCATCAGCTCAACGTAAACAAAATGCAGAATGATCAACATAAACAGGGCATAACTTTGATGGGTGACTTGGTGTTCTCATCGACTTTTCTTCACGCTTGTAAAAATAAACTTTTTTAAAAACAAAGAGTTTCGAAATACAGCCTCAGCAGAGAGACTTTCCAGGACAGGAATAGCTTGGCCTACATTTCACTCTTTATTGCAGAACAGAATTGCAAAAATGTCACCACATTTATCCCAGTTTCCACGTCCAGAAACATGACTAGTCTGTTTTGCGCCCCCCCCCCCCCCCCCCCCCCCCCCGGGGGGGGGGGGG